TTCGCGCGCATGCGCGCGGGAGACACATGCATGTGTCTCGTTTCTCCATTTCTGGAAGTTGGCAACCCTAGGTAAGTTTAAGAAACCGGCTCGAGATACACTTTTTGTTATATTCCATGGAATGCTCTTAACATCCCGATATCAATGAATATAAAGAGCAACTTGCAGGGTTTTTTTTATTACTACATTTATGTTTAACCTTGCCTGAAAATTACAAATAAAAAAGTTAATGCAGGATTTGATATATTTTACAAGACATAAGGGCAGGAATTCAGAGGGAAAGGAGCCATTTTGAGCTCTGCTACTAAAAACTTTTTTTTAACGTCATACGTCACATGGGGGAGCAACTTTATCGGACTCCTTCTCTGCCCAATCCGCGGTAGTAGTTTGTAGTTGGTTTGAGCGGTTGTGATTAAGTGAGCTGGTATTTTTTCGGTAATTTTACATTGCATTTCACAATTTTTAATCATGGTGAGCTTGAGTTTGTGCAGGTTGCACAAACTCAAGCCTGTCAGGACATCGAGACCACAGTTTCCCTCACGGGAAAAGGACCGGAGCTAGCTTTCGTTCCTGGGTGCGTTGTGCGAGGTGCATCCACCTCCCTGCAGCACATACAGTACTCTCCACAGCTGAAGCCTATCAAACAAAGCGTTTATCAGGAAACCGTATTACATCTCTCTCCCCCCCTTCGCTCCTCTCTCTCCCCTCCGGTACACAGCACCGTAAGACGTAGTGTGGAGTTGCATTAGGTAACGCGAGATACGGCTGATACTTGCGCATTAGTTTCTGTTATGGATCAGTATCAACAGTCCTGCCAGTAACGTTACTGTATTATCAATACTACTTTAGTTATAGCCTGATATATGATAGCTAACTTTACAATGTTGTGATGTGAATGACGTTAGCTAACATTAACTGTCTGTAGCTAACGCCGGTCACTCACCAAGACAGCTCCACTGGTTCTCCTCACACCACAGCTCCATTTCTCGCCGATGGCCGTTATTTCTTCTAATCCTTGGCTGCTCCTGGTCTCTTGGACGCCTAGCAGGCTCATAATTATATGCATTTGAATATATATTTTCAACCTTTTCTGTGTCAAAACTAGCATTGTGATCCATGTTTATTAATATGTTAGACCGGCCGCTCTCCCCCATGTTACGTCACACGCGGGAGGTCACGTGGGGAGGCTTTTTTTATGCAGAAGTAAAAAATGTCTTACAAAAACGATGTCACTGTAGTGTATATTTCTTGGAAAATCTAGTGTATACATAATTTTCCTACACATTTATTCACTGGTGTGTCTAACCTGCAAGTTGCTCTTTAAGTGCTTTGACAAAAAATCCATAAAAAAACGTCATCTGTGGAAGCCGTGGTACTGTAAAAAGCACGACCAATCAATTTAGCCGGCCCTGGATGGCCTACCTGCCTGTCAGCCTTCCATCTGTGCACAAACTTATCATGTGTGCGTTTGTGTGTGTTCGAGGAGGGGCTCTGTTAGGAAGTGGCAGATTTTTTCCGGCTGTGTATTTTCAAATTCTAGCGCCCTCGAGCTGGTTTCTCCAAAATTACCTCCCAAACCTTTTAATGAAGGCTGCTCTCGCTTTACGCAGTGCTTTCTTATATTCATTGAGAGTAATATGCCAAATTAAACTGAGAGTCTTCAAGTTTAGTGGAACGCCATATCCCTCCAAGTTGTCTCGATTTTTGCTTTATTTTGCCGGTTTCGGCATTATGCCATGGATCTAATCTATATTGTTTTATTTTTCCTTTTTCAAAGGAGCAACAGAGTCTAATTTTATTCGCAGGGCATCTGTAGCACTATCAACAACATGATCAATTTGGGGTGGTGTACATTTTGTATAAGTTTCCTCCCTTACATGCAGACATGCTATCGAGTTATCCACCCTGCCTCCGACCTTTCTCCTCTGCCCCAAATGGTCCTGGACTCTAACCCCCCCCCACACACACACACACTTACACACACACACAACACCAGTCACTTTTCTGCCATCTCCGCTGAACACTTTAACATATTATTAACATTGTAAACTGTATTCCCCGGTTATCTAGGCCCTTTTTGTTTTTTTTGTTGTTTGCCACACTGTAGGACCTTGAGAAACAATATTTCTGGATGTACAACATGTAGAATTCTTGACAATAAAGCTGACTTTGACTTTTGACTTTGAGTTAAGTATTGATGGAATCTCTTCCTTAAATGTGGCTATAGCACTAACAGATAGGTTTCTGCTGCAAGAGCTTTTGACTAATGCTTTGTAGTCTAGTAACAGTACTTCGAAAGTTACCAAAAAATGGTCGGATAAAGCAGGATTTTGCGGTTCGACTAATAGTTGCTCAATTTCAATACCAGAAGTCAGAACAAGGTCGAGAGTGTGATTATAACAGTGGGTTGGTTTATTTACACTCTGACGGAAACCAATATAATCTAATATAGAGTTAAATGCAACAATAAGGCTATTTTTACCGTCGTCAACATGAATATTAAAGTCACTTACGATAATTACTTTATCTGTTTTAAAGGGAGGCAATCCTCATGTCACGCATTTTTAAATAATTATCATCCGATAAAACAGACCAGTCTCTGCCAGTCTTTTTTTTCTTTTTTTTTATCCGATGACGTTATCAGTGATTTTAAGCTGATTAATTACCGAAATAACATCAACCCTGTGGGCGGCGCCATTTTGACGAGTCACATGACTTATTTTACCGGAAGTGACGTGAACTATGCGTTTGGTGTCGAGGACAAATTGACGTATGTGCTTTGTTCATGTTGTTTACTCTAGTTACTCTCACAATTCTATTGAAATATGCCTCATTGTATCGCGAAACATTGCCACAATTCGGATAGGAACAATCCACGGAATGCTCGGTTCCATCTATTGCCAACGGGTAAGCGTAGGAAGTACGTTCGGAGGCAGTGGCTAGCGAAATGTGCTCGGCCCGAAACGAAAGATCCACAGGCGCATGTATGCAGCGAACATTTCAAGTTTCCGGACGACTACTCTGAGAGTATGATGAAACATAAAATGGGATTTATTAATCACCCATTACTTAATGGGGATATAGTGCACTGCCAATGCCAGCCAGCGTAAACACATTACGCAGCAGACTTTACTTATTGTTTACTACGTAAGGAAGCAGGAATTGCAGGACCCAGAGCGCACGGAGCACAGAACGGACAGCAGATAACGGAATTGCAGTTTTATTGCTTATAGATTATCAGAACATTTCAAAGGGGACACAGCCACATTGGATATTAACCTATGGATTAACTACATCATCGTTTTTATCGTTGTAATGCCATTGAAGACCAGTTTAGACCAGGCAAAGACGAAGGTAAGCCATGTTAGCCTAGCGCATGTTAGTACCTAGCGCCACTTGTTTTGATGTACGTTTTTGTTGATAACGTCGCAAGTTTATATCTTTCAGTGTTGAGGTGAGCACCGTTATATTCTGTGTCTTTACGATCATAAACGATGTGTTGGATGTGCAGCTAGGATAAGTAATAAGGGAGCTAGGAGTGATTTTCGGTGCAGTAATATGCCCCGAGCATTTTTTGCTCGGGGCTAATTCAGAGGCTCACTGTTAGCATTGTGTGGTTTTTTTTGAAGAAAAAAATGAAAAAGATCAGTTAAATTAGTTTTTTTCCCGTTATATGGATATCAAATATTCATAGTTTATTAAATATTAAGGTTCCTTAAACGTTGTTTCCTGCAAATGACGCGATTTCGGCCCCGGAACCGGGTCCGTGGGGCCTAAGAGGATAGAGTATGTTTTTTGTTTTTTTTACAGTTGTATTTGGATGGAATGAATACCTATAGTGATAATTCAAAGTAATAAAATGATTTTTACAGTGAAAAAGGTCAAATGGAACTGATGGTTCCCAAATTACCCAGAGGTGAGTCCGCCTGGACTTTATTTTTCTAAACTTCTTCCTCGGCTGACGAGTCCGAACTCAAATACTCCGCCATGTTTTCGTCGAATGAGCTGTTCGTGTGTTTACAAAGTGAACGCATAGATAACGTCACGACCTAGTTTTTCGGATCATGTGACTACCGAAAATGGCAGCTGCCTGACGGAATATACAGGTTTTGATAAAAAAACAGCTATAAAATCATTATTTACCGGGGAATATCGCTGATTTCTTCAGGGTATGGTTTAAACATAATGTTTCACTAAATACTGACGTTTTTATTAACTATCTAATGACTGGAGCCTTCCTTTAAGTACCAAAGTTGATAAAAACTCAGATAATTCTGATAAGAATTCTGAATAAGGACCTGGTGCACGGTACACTGTAACAAATAAGATTGGCTGCAAAGTTTTCCAGGTCGGATGCATAAGACTAAAAACAAGGCTTTCAAAGGAGGTATAATTTAATTTTGGTTTTAGTACTCAAGTAAACTTGAGTTAAAGATTGCTTCCTCGAGGAATATGAGTATTGATATGGCTGGGTGGAGTGGCCTCATTTACAGATGTAGCACTCCAGATAGGACTCACATGGGTGTGTCCCAGTCAAAAGCCCAGCGGATGCCAGTGGCTGGGGGTGTTGCCAAATTGCTAGAGGGCGTTGCCCAATTTCCCCATTTGTTCATTTACAGGATTTAACCATGAGATGGAGCTTAATTCACAAGTACACAAAGACAACTGGGTGTTGATGAACTTAGTCTGTTTGCAATGTTTGCAGCTCTGCAGTTGTGTTTGTTGAATACTGTAGCATTTAATCACTTATTTGTTATGGTTTTCACAGGCTACACTGTAAACCCCAACAGTACTACTAACTCATAAGTATTATGGGTACTGCAATCAAAACCAAATATCAAGTCAATCGAACAATAAACTTATACGTTCTTTTAACGAAAAGTGCTGTTTAATTTTATGTGAATCATAGTTTATGAGTGAATATTCAAATTTGAATTAAAACTTCTGAGTGAACAGTCACGCAGCGTCTGACGTCATTACGTCATGATGTTGCGATGAATCGAGAAAAATCCATCCAACATGGCGGCTCTTGCAAGCGAAGGGATTCCACACATGGTTTAACTTGTAAGTACCAAAATAAGTCGTTAAAATTGTTTTTCTTGTTATAATATTGTAAGGATATACCACCCGAAGATTATATGTGATCGTTAGACCCCATTGTTTAATTCAGAGTTACGTGCAGAGCGTGCAGTTACCGGCTGCTTCGCGCTATTTTTTTAATTTCGGACTGCCGGTTAAGTACTGTAAGGACGTTAACGTTAGAGCAGCAGCATGTTAACTTTAGCTAGAAACTCCTATTAGTCAACGGCAGCCCTACTGTTTAAAAGTGTGTTTCTTACTGGTGCTTATTAACGCTATTATCTGGTAAATGTGATGTAATTCCTGAATATTCTTGAATTAAGCTAGTAGCTAGCTAGAGCTGTTTTGCACAATTACGTTGATGCTAGTAACAGTAAGCTAATGAAAACGGCAAGCTTGTATTAAAACTCTGCACATTTATTTTTGCCGTAGGGTGAAGCTGGTGCATAGCAGTGAGACTCCTCAATATTCAAGGTAACTTATTGCTAACCCATAGCTACTGTGTTCTGTTTTTTTATTTAATTATTTTAGATCTTTTTTCCAGTAGCTTTATTTATTTAATTAGGTATTCAGAACATTAAACAGAACTGGCCTTTCTACAGTAATCCGATCATCATGCTTTGTTGAAGTTTCATGGTTGAAATGGTTCAATGGAGTGTAAGGACGTTAACGTCAGAGCAGCAGCATGTTAACTTTAGCTAGTAACTCCTATCAGTCAACGGCAGCCCCACTGTTTATAAGTGTGTTGCTGGTGCTTAATGTTATCCGCTATTATCTGGTAAATGTGATGTTATTCCTGAATTAAGCTAGTAGCTAGCTAGAGCTGTTTTCCACAATTACGTTGAGGCTTACACACAGGCATGTTTGCTAGTGACAGTAAGCTAATGAAAACTGCAAACTTGTATTAAAACTCTGCACATTTCTTTTTGTCGTAGGGTGAAGCTGGTGCATAGCAGTGAGACTCAAGATTCAAGGTAACTTGAACAGAACTGGCCTTTCTACAGATCCGATCATGCTTTGTTGAAGTTGCATGGTTGAAATGGTTCAATGGCATGGAAGTGCAAAGTGTGTGCTGTCTCGTCAGACACCCGGGTTCAGTTATTTAGGCACTATCGTTTGAAGCATAGCCAGTACTCAATAGTTAACCCTTTGCCATTTGTCTATGACTCTTGCATTTTTTACATTTCAATCATTTATCATTGCAGGAAGTTGAGAAAAGTGAGAAGAACCTCATCTTGATAGAAAAGCTCATGCAGACGACTTTTGCCCTTCGTCGCCAGGAGATCGTTCAGGAAAATCCCTTGGTCGGGGACTTTTTAGAGAAATGGCTGGCCCTCCGGATGGAATCACAGGTAAAACACAGACGCTCTCAGACGTTTTAATCTGTCTCTTTTCTGCCCCTTGTCACATCTTTCTCATAGTCTGCACACCGTTTCCCAATTTTGCTTGCAAAAACTGCCTACTTTGCACACAATAGAACAGTGTTGTTGTTCAATGTTAATTATAAAACAATATTTATTTTTATAATATAAATAATAATACAAATTAAATGAATACTTTGAATATGATCATGTTGCAATATATTTTTACGGAAACAACAAAACAGGTTGCATCACTAATCATTTTACAGTTGCATATCCATTAATGATCTTTATACATTTGTGTGTTCCTGTAGGTTTGTGCCGAGTTTCACCGAATCACAAACGTCAACCTACGGAACCAGTTATTTTCTGACCTAGACGGACACACCCTGCGACTGATTGCCTTGCACAGGCAGAAGGCGGCACGCACTGGCAAGGTATCTGAGGCCCTGCGTGAAATCCTAAGGATTTGTGATCTCCAGGTGAGTTTAATAGAAGTTTGGTCCAAATCAAGTTTTTCCAATGACAGCCGAGGCTAAATTACTTGATTGGAACACACCATAGTATCAATGCTTATTTACTTTTACACATAACCACATTCATTAAAATTCACAAATAATAAACAGATAATGTAAAATATATTGGATTGCATTTTTCAGAAGAGTATCACAAATATAACAATAACAAATAGGGGGGGAAAAAATATTTTAAATTATTAATTTAATTTGACAACAATCAAAAATAAATATGTATATATTAATTTAAAAAGCCATTGCTTTTTAATTATGCTAGTTTTTGCTTGTCTTTCCAGGAAGTACAGGATGTCCACATGAAACGCAATGCAGCCCTTCGAGCCCTCCCGTTATACCTGTGTGAGGAGGACCCACAGTTCTTCAAGTCTTGGAGCGTAAGTATTTAGTGCACTCAAAGTACTGCTAGTGAGGTCAGAATGTGTGCTTGTAAGAAACTGTTTCGCTATTTTACCCTTCCAGTTAAAAAAACAAACAGATGGGAGCAATCCAAAATATTTTCAGATATATAAAAGAAAGGTTCACCTAAACACATTTTTGAAATACCTTCCTATATACTTACCTGTTGAGGAATATGTGAATGAGATTGTTTAGTTACTTCAAGTCAACCTTACAGTTGGACTCTATGCATTTCCAGGCAGAGGAGGTGGACCGGCCAGACATCACCAACACACCGGTTGCTATTGTCAGCATGGTCACCGAGAGCACTCCAATTCAAGTTGATCTCAGTCCAGCAAGTACTGCTATTCTGTTGGAAGGTGATTTCGTCATCAGCAATATCCGCAGGATGGCGGATTCCTTTGCATTGTTGTTTGGCTTGATGTACGTGTTACATTTGGACTACCCCAAGAAACTCATCAACACTTTCACTTTCATACAGAAAGTGCTGATGGGCCTTGATGATGGTAAACCACTGAAGCCCTGCATACTCAATCTAAAAAATTGACCTGTTACTGAAAAAGTAGGCCGTGTTACAGGTTGAAACTTTGCACATGCCAATGTTTGTTTTGCACAGTTAAAGGTGGGGTAGGTAAGTTTGAGAAACCGGCTCGAGATACACTTTTTGTTATATTCCATGGAATGCTCTTAACATCCCGATAGCAATGAATATCTGAAGTGCTTTGACAAAAAATCCATAAAGAAGTGTCATCTGTGGAAGCTGTAGTACTGTAAAAAGCACGACCAATCATCTGAGCCGGCCCGGCTAAAATAACTGGATGGCCTACCTGCCTGTCAGCCTTCCATCTGTGCACAAACTTATCTCGTGCCCTCATTGGTCATGTGCGCGTTTGTGTGTGTTGGAGGAGGGGCTCTGTAAGGAAGTGGCAGATTTTTTCCGGCTGTGTATTTTCAAATTCTAGCACACTCGAGCGGGTTTCTCCAAAATTACCAACCCCACCTTTAATTCGTTGCTTAAAGCAGTTGAATGATGTTTACATTGGGTAGAATGTCTAAATCTACCTCAGTTGTTCATGTTTTCACTGAAAGTGCTGATGGTCCTTGATGGTGGTAAACCACTGAAACCATGTGCCTACAGTTGTTCATGTTTGCACTTTAACTGCTATGGCACGCTGTTTGAGTATTTATTTCATATCCTTGATATCAGACAGCAATTACCTACACTAACTGGCTCTTTGATTGCACTTGTTAGATATATGGTCACACTAGTTTGACATTCTGCTTTACTAGTTGAATAACACATTATACTAGTCACTCTTTTTCAGCCACTAGTGGCACTTTTGTCTGACTAGTTACTACATAAGCCTTACTAGTGATGCCAGGAGCAGCACTAAAGTCCCAACTTGTAAGCTTTTTTGATGAACTAGTGACCCTCTGACCGTACTAGTAACACTAAAGTTAACAGCACTGCAAAAACTCAAATTGGGACTGTAGTGCTACTAGTGCTGCTCGTGGCGTCACTAGTAAGGCTTATGTGGTAACTAGTCGGACAAAAGTGCCACTAGTTGCTGAAAAAAAAAGTGACTAGTATAATTGTGTATTCTACAAGTAAAGCAGAGTGCCAAACTAGTGTGACCATATATCTAACAAGTGAAATCAAAGAGCCAACTAGTGTAGGCAGCTGCCGTCTGATATCAAGGATATGGAATACATACTCAAACGGCTTGCAAAACTCCTTGAAATGTTTCTTTTTACAAATAGAAAATATAACTAATTTGTATTAATTTTCCTTTTTTGTGAACAATAAGTACCTTTTGAAAAATGTATTTTAATTTCTAATTATTTTATTTTGAAATGTGACTTAGTTTGATGGTCTTAAAAAAAAAAGTGTTGCAGTAAGAAATTGCATGTTTTAGAATTCATGTTATGATTGGATGAACAATTTAAGACTGAATACATTTAAAAAAACTAAAGTCTACAGAAGTTGTTGAAGTTCTTTGAGTATTTTGTACTTAAATAAATAAGAAAATATTGGCCAATGAGTTATCTAGAAATATATTTGTTGATTTCAATATTCATGCAATTAAGTACTTTTGCATCAAACTAATTCATTATGGAAAAATTAAAATGTTTAAATGTGTCGAACAATGTTTATAAGTACAGTATACTTAAATAATACACAAATAATAATTAAAGTTTTAAGTTTAACACTAGAACCGCCAACGGGTACATTTTACCCGTAGCAGTATTTTGATTGTATGTAACTTTTTTTCAATAACATATTAAAGTCTCCCAGTCTGTGACTTTTCTGAAAGTGTGTTATGTAGCACCCTCTGTTGTTAACAATTGTCAATATGAAGTGAGATTGAAAAAATCGCCCAAAAAAAAGCCATTTATACCTATATCCGCCAGCGGGTAATATTTACCTCATAGAAAATGCAGCGTAAACATGACGTGTTGCTATAGCAACATCTTTTGTCTACTGCGGTTCCTTATAGATAGAGAGATAGATTGATAGATTGATAGATGGATAGAGAGATAGACAGACAGATAGATAGTTATAGATAGTGTAACATCTTGGAGAATACAAGATCTTGGATGGCTGAGCTCACGTTGAGGACGTAATGCATGCAGGTTACGTGCCAGTTGAATAAAGATGGACACTCGGAATGAGAGAAGTAGTCCGCGTCGTCTGTTTATGTAGACAATTATATGTCCATAGAACAGAACATTACAGATGGATCGATAGATAGTTATAGATAGATAGATAGAGAGATGTGTACCTAAACAAAACACAAGTCTAACACCAAACGTTTAAATCAGCACTCTTAGCGATATTTTATACTTCATGTTATCTGCACAAACTATGTCATATGAAAAGCTGAGAGTCCACAGATTCTATTGGTATAAATGTCATCCCTGTGCGATCAAAACTCACTGTTCTGTATGATAAATAAAAGAACATTGTACCTTGAAAATCAATAGCGGGTACATTTTACCCGTTGGCGGTTTTAGGTATACAGCGACCTCTGGCGGTTCTAGTGTTAAAGGTCCCATGTCATGGCCATTTCCACTGATCATAATTCCATTGTTGAGGTCTACTAGAATATATTTATACTGTGCAATTTTCTAAACTCACATTGTTTCGCATACAGCATCTCTGTAAACTACGTGTATTCACTCTCTCCACTAAACGGCTCGTTGCAGCTCTTGCCACCCCTCCCTGTGAGCCCAGTGTGCTCCAATTGGTCAGCTCGGCCCCTCTGTTCTGATTTGTCAACCACCAGAGAGGCTCTGCCCCTGTTGACATCTGCCGTAAAGTGGTTTAGCGGGTACTTAGCCCACTTAGCCCATGGTATTTTTTCGGCTCTGAGCGGAGTAGCAGAAATGAAATGGCGTCAGTAAAGCCATATATGTACGAACCGGAGTCCGACCCTGAGAGTGAAACGGACCGTGATGGACCTGATCCACCGTCCCAAACAAGAATACAGCAGGCGGTTTCACAGTGGAACGTTTTAATTTTGTATAGCTGCTACATTTCAGATGTAATGTTAGAACTTCATCATTTATCTACATCACAGTAACAAGTGTGTCCGCTGACTAACCAAACTTTCCAACTGTTATTTAGGTGCACGTGTGGAATCTGCGCAGTAATGCCTACCGAGGTGGAAGACCTCTGTTGCAGGGAGATTAGAAAGGTGACAGTGTAGTGCCGATGAAAGGGAGTCGGGGGCGGTGTGTTTAGAATCAGGTAAAATACATGTCTGCTCTGTCTGACAAGCTAGGAATGACAAGCTAAACCTAAGAGCACACACTAAAGGGTCCGTGTGGCAACACTATACCAAAGGTGAATTATGGTCAAAACAGGGTGTCACCACAACAAATACAAAAACACCAACAGTAGCACACAACATTATATACACCATACATACTTGTCAAGTCAATAGACTATATGCCCTTTTATTTATTCTATAGTAATTGAATGTTTATTTTGTAAACCTCGCCATAGTTGGATTTAATTGCTAAACGTATTATGTTACAAATATCTTATCCTCCTATAGGTTTTAACACGAATGCACCAAGTCCCAGAACCCATTGTGTGCATGGTTGACCACCCCGGACTAGAACCAAACTGCCTCAATCCCTACACCCTGCAGAACCTCCACAATATTTATCGGTTTGATTATGGACCTTTGAGGCGTAGAACTGAAGAAGAGTAAGTTATTTTTAGCTATAATAAACTACTACTGGATTAGATGAAAAATCAAATAATGGTTTGCTATATATGAATGATCTAGGAGCAAATAATTCAGGGAAGAAAGGCTATCAAGTAGTTCCATCAAACTTTATTTTGATAAATGTACAAATTGATCATGTGTACATTACACACTGTATGAGATAAGATGGACCTTTATTAATCCCTGTGGGGAAATTCAGTTGTTCAAGCAGCCAGAGGGTAAGGGTGAAAAACAGGACAGCACATATATGTTATCATCCATTCCTCCTCTTATAGGCATCTGGCCTATCGCAGCTTCGTAAGCTGGTGCTGGGGCTTTTTGGGAGGAGGAATCAGAGTGGTCATCCCGTCGTGTGTGGTCCGCCGGATACGCCAGGAGTTCCCTGATCTGGCTGGACAGTACGTGGGCTTCCGACCGCCCCTAGACTAAAACGTGAGACATGGCGGGCTACCACTTCCTCCTTTGAGGGCCTGTCAAATTGAGTGGACAGGTCTTTTGGGATGTTGATTTTATTCATCTCCTCCACAAAGGGTGTTGGGTCCTCAAAGACTTCTTCAAACACCAGCCTCATCAGCTCACCCACATACACTGAAAAATATAACATTCATATATTAGGGCCGGGACTCGATTAAAAAAATTAATCTAATTAATTAGAGGCTTTGTAATTAATTAATCGAAATTAATCTCATTTTTAATCACATATAAATATTTGACCTGAGAACAGTGAGAAGCAATTTTTTTCACATGGATTTTAGTATACCATTAGGCGCATTCACACCGCAGTACTTTTCCCACAAAGGTTCATGAGAACTCTTTGAACCTGGTGGTGGATTAGGCAAATGAAGCCGTTGACGTCACTTCTTCTTCTTCTGCTGCTTTGGGTTTACTGGCAGGCCGCAAACCACCCAAAGTCCCCGGCCGGAAGTCCCCGGAGTTGGGGACTGGCTTCAGTAGAAGCTGCTGGGACTCCCAGCAGCTTCTACTGAAGCCTTCCGAGTAAATCGCCAGAATGCCGACACCTCCTCATCTCCACCGCTCCCATGTTTTATTTTGTGTTGCCATAAGTTAGTCTCTCTGCGTTTCTGCGCTGGGCTAATGCTAATGCTAATAATGCTAATACGAGGATAATAAAATGGCGGCTTCACAAAACTTTTTGGGAGTTTTACGGGGCTTGGTTTGCAATCCGCCCAGCCAATCAGAAATATAGCTCTTTTCTCACAAGAGAGCTGTACGAAAGTCCCTGCTCTATAGCAGCTCTCTGCTCTCTAGCAGGGACTTTCGTGGGGGTAAAAAGGTTCTCATGAACTAATTTTAGTACCGGCTCTTTTTGGTGTGAACGCGATAAAAGAGGCTAACGTCCACGCTAGCTTCCACGCTAGCTGCTATATGTTTTGCATTGAGGTGATACTTGAGGCTTGATGTGCTGCGGTGATATGCGAATTGCTTTTTGCATAATTTGCACACAACCGTGCTCTTATCGACGCTTCCATCCGTCCGTTTTTTAAAACAACATTTCCCACTGTTGTTCACTGTGGTTTGTTGTTGTCTGAAGTCATGAACGTTAGTTGGTGCTCCAGTATAATCGGTACGCCTGAAACTCATCCAGTGAGAAACGTTCCGCGGTGCAAAAATAAGTGCGATTAAAATGCGTTAATTTTTGTGTAATTAATTAATCTTAATTAACGCGTTACAGTCCCGGCCCTAATAATAATTAATTATATACACTTATTCATTTCTCTTTTATTCTTTCATTGTACAGATTTGGTCTCCCCTGGTGGTGTAGTTGCTAGAAAATCTTCAGCTGATCAGTTTTCCACTTGTGGATAATAGCAGGCTCCAGATAATGCCTAGCATGCCTCCTGAAGGTCTCTTACTGGAAGATCTCCAACTGCATGGCTCTGCATATCTATGAATAAATAGAAAAACAGGACAAGTATTTGAAAAAGTCCACTTCTGTCATTTTTCATATGCTATGGATGTAAGATGGTAAAATACCTTTTTTAGTTGGAAGAAGGAAGCACCAGTGAAGTATGTAGCAGGAGATAATTGTAAGTTGCCAACCGGGGTACTTCCAATGATGGGCTGGCTCTCCCATTGTCTGAAGTAAGTGCAGTTTGGACAACGCTGTTTGGACGCCACAAAAGTCCCATTTTTCCGTTTTTGGACATCACAGTCTGTCTTAAAAAACGGACATTTTTCAAACAGCTGTCCGAGGCAGCTTTAAAACACAATGTACTTTGCGTCACTGTGCGTGGATCGTGTCTGAAGTCTAATGTAACAAAACAAAATTAACAATACATGTTCGATGTCAACTCTGAACCACAGTAATAGTAATGTGTACCAAATATACCAAACTTACGATACGTCAGATTCTTCTACAGTATCATCAGGGTGGTAACTCGAATCCAGAGTCTCTTCAAATTCAATCAAAGTCTCTCCTTGTTCCTGCTCCAACTCTAGTCGAGGTCTCTTGCTAGATCCCAATCCTGGGCCCTTTATTGGTGTAGAGGACAAGGGGATTTCTGTGTAGGTGGAAGTTTTAGTGCCAACACTTTTGAAAGACACCGTGGCCTGGATGCCTGTTAATAAAAAGGGAAAAGTACATAAATACTATGTACATTAGATAAGACACTAATACATTGTAAAAGGCCAACAACTTGTGTACATCTGACAGATTAATTCATGAAAAATGTACAAACTACAAACAGCACTGTATTTCTTGTAGTCATAACAGTATTTCTGTGATATACAATAATATCAAATAAGGTTTTATTTATAGAGCATATTTCAAAAAGATTTTTGGTCGAGCCCAAGTGCTGTACATGTAATAAAAGCACAATTAAGGTAATGTATCTGTGATTTGTTAGTGTTATAGTCTACCTTTGCTTCTCACGTGGGCCGATTTCAGTGTTCCCCGGGCCAACTGTGTAGCAACAGAAATGGCGGACACTTTACATTCCACTGTCTGTGTTCCCACAGACCGTGTCTCAACCCTCTGAGTTCCCACACAAACAGTCTGTGGACGGTCTGTTTGACATCCGACTGTACTGGAGCAGTTGTGTTCTGTTAGAAATTAAAATCAATGTTGGTATGGCGTAATTTGAATTAAATACACTATTTAATTTAAATCAGTTTTATTCTGAAAAACCGGAAGTTCACTAACTATTAACTTAATACTTTTATTCTGACAATTATTCATTTCCGGTTAGCATTAGCATGTGGCGAAATGCTGCATTTTCAAACCGTGAATCAAAGGTGAAATGACATGTGATGTTGTACACTGAGCACACTGGGTTTAGCAATCATTTATTACCGCTGAATAACGTTTATTAGGAAATGTTTAAATAACCACAGACACCAGAATGATATAATTTAACAACAGAAAAAGGCAGAAATTGCATTGGACCCGCCCCCGACGACGCCGGCCAATAGGAGAAGACCTCCGATGATAACAGGAAGAGCAAGCCAAGGATTGACCTCTTTCTACCGGCTGACCTGGACTGACCGGGCGGATGAGGAGAGCGCCTCCACTCGCACATTTCATTTTGTACTGTACACCACCGCATCTTTTGTGTAATTAAATGCTGTTAACTTTTATAAGCTTCCCTTGACTCTTTTCAGTCTCTCCTGCCTTCGGGGTTATAGAATACACTAATAATACACTTTGCCTGCAGAAAATGAGTTTTTGGCTGGGCCTAAACGAAAGGTGAGACAGTTACCTGTTTAATTCCGTGGTGATTGCGAGTGGTGTGGAGATTGTATATAGTGTTTCTATTCGTCTCTGTTGTATCTTCGGCGCCGCCCGATTAATGTGAATATTACATAGTATTAAGACCTTCTGGTGAGGCACTAGGTTTTATCTGGGATAGGGTTCACATTGTGTTAAATACCTCTGGGTAGGTACCAGACCTGATCTGTTTTACACTGGACTGGGTCCATTCATGTTAGTCTATATGTTTGATGTGTTAAACCTGCGTAGTCTGGTTTAATAACGTATATTGTGTGGAGTTTTTAAGCCAAAAAGTATATTTTTGTGTGATCTTCTAAGCCGAAACGATTGTGTACAAGATTGGTATGAGATCGGCTTTTAAGGTCAGCATCTATATAATTTAGAGCTAAGATAAATGAAGATTGTTTTGTTTTGTATTGTCAATCAGTGTGGTTATTTATATGCAGATGTTGAGTGTTTCCATTGTTCTCCTTCCCCCAGTCACATGCGGTTAATGCTATACTGCTAAGCTAGCCAGTTAGCATTACTAGATGGTGAAATACTTCGAGTAAAGATACAACCGGTAACTACTGATTAAATACACAGGGATGGTGTAGATGAACGTTGAGAGTAGATTGAGTTGTTTTGTTTTTCATGCTTTTCAAAGAAAGTAATTTGAACTTTATATTTTGAGGAAATAAACAGGAAGTAGGTTTATGAACCGGAAGTACTAGTTGATACATTTGAGAGGAGTTACAAATAAAACAGCTCCCCTAGCGGACATAATAACTATTACAGTTAATACATTCTTCACCACACAGATAAAGATTACATGTGGTTTCTTTGAATTGAAGTATTGTAGTTAACACATTTTATGACATTTGCATAATTTCATAAACTCAACTTGAGTATACACTGTCCACGGTTTATTTGGATTTGCACCATATTCCTATTTTCATATTACAAAGTCAAAACCATACACTGTGCATTTTTATTTATTTGTTCAGATTTTGAAAATTTGCATAATTTCAAATTTTTTATTTAATTTGTCTAATTTAGATTTTCCAATCTCAGTTTTACAACATTTCAATTTATTTTTCAAAAAAATTGAAAAAATTACCAGATTTTAAAGTTAAGTTCAGATGACATATGATATATTTATAAAGAATACAAGGGTACTATTCAGAGGATTAGTAATTCATTTTGATAACTTAATAATATTATCCGTGTACTTAAGAAACATGTCGCCAGAGTTAAGAGCACTCACAGTGCCAGGCACAACTGCAGATATTAAGGCGAGAGTAAACATCAGATCAGATGCTTTAACGTGTCCAAGTCATAGACAGAAGACATGGAACCAAATAGAGAAACTGTTGGAACAGTGGCAAACGAGAGGATTGATTCCAGCAGATGATCAACCTGGACCAACGGAAGCCCATAGAAAAGCTGTAGTTGAACATGAGAATGCTGAATACCTACAACAGGAAAAAGCATGGATCAAAGCCGTACAAACCCCTTGGTATGGACCTGCTAAAAGCGCTATGAAAAAGCTGAAAAAAAGAAAAATTAGGGTTACATGTCTGTTAATCCATCTGACATCCATCGCAGAAGATCTGCCAGTAAATGAAGACACAGCAGAAATGACAAAAGAGGCTCCACTTATCCAAACTCCAAAGCAGTATCCAAGCCTGACCGAAGTGTCTCCTCCAGACATATCAGAGAACAACCCTTCTCACCAAGCTTCGATTCAAGCCCCAAATGAGCAAGAATTGGCGTATGAGGTAAGAATCCTATCCAGTGTCAACCAGCTGATGGAAGAACTCGGCAGAAGAATGGAAGCAGAACTCAGCAGAAGAATGAAAGCAGAACTCGGCAGAAGACACGAAGAACTCGACAGAAGAATGGAGGAACTCGACAGAAGAATGGAAGAGGAGCTCAACAGAAGCATTGAAGCAGAACTCATCAGAGGAATGGAAGAGAGACGAAAGGCAGATGAAGCCCATAATGACATTATTGAAGAAAGACGGAAGGCAGTTGAAGCCCATAATGACATTATTGCAGAAAGACAAAGGGAGGAAGATAAA